AAGCTCAAATTTTTAACATTTCACTGAAGACAACTGAGGCTCAAAATACGCAGAATTATCCTAAAAATTCCTCCTTATTCTGATTTTTAATAATTCGACAACACTGGCAGTTTCCAGAAAATGTTGCCTTTGTGTTCAAGCTCACTTCAAAAATTCGAAACTTCCAAACGAAAACAACTGCAGAAATGAAATTTAAACAGTCTAGTGAAGACATTTAAGTCTACAAATTCGGCAAATCATGATAAAATATCAGGCGATCCTGAATTTTAATCAGTCGACAAGAAAGCTGTTGCAAGCAATTTTTTAATTCAGATGCGGCCCCACTTTTACAGCTCAAAACTTCCGAATCGAAACGACTTGAAACTTAAAATTTTAACCATTCACTGAGGCTCAAATATACGCAGAATTATGCCAAAAATTCCTCTTTATTCCTATTTTTAATCACTTTACAACATATATCACAATATCAGTTGATCCTGATTTTTAATCACTCGACAAAGAGCGGTTGCAAGTAACCTTTCCATCCATGTACAGGCTTACTGTAAAGGTTGAGTTCAATTGTTGCAGATATTCTACGTCTGACGTCTAAAAAATATATTTAATTAAGTCAAATAATGGCCAATTTATTCATATTATTCCCTGCCAACGAGAAATTTCCTTTATATAACTGAGGCTGAGGAGATAAAAGGGAAATAGTGAACAGGCCAATATGACTGGCAGGGATGTCTGTAATGAAAGACAAACAAGAATACTGTAAACATTTCCCGTTTCACTGATAATTTCCTATTTAAGGCAGGATAAATTCTGCAACAAATTAGAGCTGAATATTTTCAGCAACTACTTACATTTCGCTCATTGAAATCGAGCAATATATCAAAGGTTGGTGACACAATGAAAGCATGTAAATCCTCATTTAGTTTCATTTAGCACGATTTTGGATAGAAATAGCCGAGCTTTGGCAGTATCGCACTAACGCCAACAATTGTTTGATATCCCGCACGCATTTTGCCATAATCTCAAAATTAGCTGGAATGCGTAATTGAAGTTTGCAATTATCACATTTGCGTTAGAAAATACTGTGCATTGGCGCCAAAAATTTTATTTATAGTTCAATCATTAAGGCAAATTCTGCTCAAATTTGCTAAGGATTTTCCAGCTTCCAAACCGATTTATCCGATAGCTTAAGACGCCGGTGGTGGATTAGTGCAGTCACGTTCACTTCGTGTTATTTTTATTACATAATCAAACTCATTTAGTACACACAGTAAATTGCTGATAACCGCTAAATAACGACGAAAAATTGTTCAGCAATTATCGTCTGTTGGTGATAATTTTGGCGTTGTGGTACTACTTATTAAGACACGTCCATATCAGGCTTACGTGCGAAGGTTTTCGATACTCAAAAGTCAAATTAATTCAAAATTTTCTCAAACAGTTAATTCATGCATGGTCAGTCCAACTCTTTTAACAGTATCTACTGCTGGGTAGATCGCAGACTAATAAAAAAATTATCGTTTCACAATCTACATAAATTTAGACGCTCGAAACGGGCTAAGCTTAATTAAATTAATTGAATTTTTCTGTTTACACACAAATAAATTTAAGCTAATTATATTGATTAGTCTGCAATCAGGCTGTGCGGTTCAGGTGTTTACTTCGCCGCTTAAACAAACGTTCTGCCTGTTGGTTTTGCCCCAATTTTTCTCAACTGATCAACAATTGATTTTGCCATTAGTTCACGTTTCAAATGTTTCAGTTGCTTTCTAATTAAGCTGGAAAATGGAATTCAATTATAAGGGTGTGAATGAGGTGAATGTCGCACATTTCAAACCCTGTTCTTTGCCAAGGAGAAAACTGCTTTTAACGCAGAGTGAGTTTCATTTAGTTGCGGAATTGCCCATTATTCAGTGTATTTATCGTTCAACAATCAAGCATTTATTCGATTGGCTAGTAAAAAACATTTTCATCAAATAATCCTGGAACAAGCATTAAGTATGTTTTCGCAACATACTTTGGAGTTCGAGTCCTAATAAGTTCTTTGAAGTTTAGCCCACTTTCTTAGCGGGCCATTTAACAACTTTGGTCATTTTCTTTTGCCTTTGGGCCAAGTAATCTGCAAAATTGCAAAGCTGAATTCCAACAATCAATTATTTTGTCGGCAATTAATCAAAGTGACAACACAAATGCCCATCTGAAAAACATATTCCTTCGGGCCACCTCTCTTCAGCTTAAGCCCGTTAAACTTCGATTGCTCGCTAACAAGTTGGAAATTAGATTAGCAATTTCGGGGGCCATTTCCACACAGATTCTCCCGAAATTGTAAACGGCACAATAAGTTTCCTAATCAATATTTGTCAGCTTCCATTAGTCGCTTATATACCATGGCGGAAATAACGGATCTTTCCTAATGTCGATCGATTAAATTGTAACAAACAGCCATTTCTCCTCCGGCCGCCAAATATAATAATCCTTTTCTAAACAAACGATGGAAATCTCGCACGAGGCGCATAATCGCCTCAAAGCCATTGTTTTTGCCATCTGAATTATGCGGAACTTTATTGCAATAATTCGCCATTTAATTCGCGAAGCTTTTGCCGGTATAATTTCGGATTTTATAAAGAAAACACAAATTTATTTGTAAACATGTAGGCAGTCCAAATCTGCTCAGATGACTTTATTGGCCATTTGCTGTTCTAACAACCACACGAAGTTCCGATATATTTATTAGCCAATTATTTTCGCCACTATCCAGAGAAAGCGGCTTAATTTCAGCGAATAATATCCATATTGCAGTTAAAGGAAAAATGGAGCATTTATAGCCGAAAGGCGGTGTAAATATCGCAGAGGCAACACGATCTATAAACTTTTAAGACCGTCATAATTTCGCCCAACTGAGACCATCTTTCGAAGATTTTCGGATTTAATTAAGAAAGTTGAACAACAATAAGAGCAGAGCTTAACACTATTAATCTAGCTTTAAGGGGCGGTTTATCTACTGCATTACATGAAGGATTTTTTTCAAAACTTAATTTTTTGCTACGGCTACTTTTTTAATTGGCAATTTAAATCAAATGAGCGCGCAGAAACTTCTGCGTTTTTTTGGGGTTGTTGTAGGCCGTTGTCAAAAACAATTTCTTTCTCTGAGTCTTTCGTCTTCTGAGTCGAGCCAACCACACCAGGTTCAACGCAAAAAAGCTACAAGCATCAGCTCCAAATATTCCTGTTTAGTTAAATTAAATTAATTTCGATATTGAGCTGTTCAAACCGATTCGATTCACTTTCGTCTAAATTTGCGGCGTTTTGTTTGGAAACTGGGGCTTTATTTGACAAAACGCCAAGTCGCGTGTTGTTCGCTCTGGATGGTGAATTGTCTGGCTGCTTGTGGCATTCATAAGATCATCGCTTATTGGATTTTCCATAGCTGTCAGATAATATATCCAGGCAATAGCAGCCCTCCAAAGATAAAGTGATCCACAAACGGGAAATACTCTAAAACAATGGCTGTTTTCCAGCTTTACCGGATTTCACATGGAGCAGCAGTGCCTTCGGGGAAATCAGATCTAACACAGCATGAACTAGACTAACCTAAACGACGCTTTGTTCCATTTATCCCATTTTTGCTAGGAGATTTGCAAAAATGCTTGCTGTCTTTCCATGCAGCAAATTACGTCTCAGTTATTTTAGTCATCAGCAAGTTCATTGAGCAAATAAGTTCACAAGAAAACTTGCTCTAGTTGAGCTTCCTGGATACTAACGACTATTTGCAACCGATAAAACTCAAACGGCAAGTTGGCATAGTGGAAGATTTGCGAATGAAACCGATTTTCAATTTGAGCAACTTTGAAGTCGTTAAATAAGTTGCGGAAAGTTGCGATACCTCGAAAGTAAAAGATCGCGTAAGCCGCAATCGCAAAAATCTAATCCTCACGATCGAGGCGAACTAAAAGAAGGCGACTGTTGGCGTTGAAATTGAAAAGTTGGCAAAGTAATCAAACAACTGGCTGAGAAACAACGCCATTCTCAGTATTTGTGTTATCTCTTAAGGAAATCGGTTCGTTGGGAAAACATTGAAGAAGGGTGGAAACTCACAAATGAAACGGAGGCCTGCCATCGAAAACTTTCCCACTCAGACCAGCAGGAAAATATGGGCCCGAAAAGCTTAGGAAAATTGTTATTGGAAGTGTTTCGATTAAAATGGGTCAACTTCGTCCCAGTAACGTGACGATCGATTGCCGGCCCCCAAATGGCCGCTTTTTATACTTTCTGGGTCCACTTTTCAACCTTACGAATTCTTTATGCCGTTAAGCAATCTAAGCCAACCGCTAATTACAGTCAAACCCTCCCGCAGAGCTTGTTTGTTTCGCCGGAAACGGGAATCTGAATAAAACACAATTAACCGACGCTACCGTTTATTTCAATCGCAAATGAAGCCGAAAACAATAAGTCTTTTCAAGCAACGTGAGCAAGCAATATTTCCCACCTAAAAGCACTGCTTCTGTACGCGAAATATAATTTTTACCTGCTTTATGGCAAAGTGAACAATGGAAATTGCAATCGATATTTGCTAACGTTTCTTTTAAGCAGTTAGAGGGACTACCGAACGAAACTGTGATTTGGGGTGTTCTATTAAAATCGCACCTTTTTATTAATTTTCACAGACCTTTTGCCTTTATGGTTACGTCTGGATGCACCATTAGAAATTGGAAAATAGTTTTATTCCATTGGAAAACTACTTAGGAGCATGATGAGAGTAGTTGGTTTGAATGGCAAACTTGGCTACTATTTCCTACGGTTTTTACCTACATTTCTCAAATTGTCGCATTTTTTCATGGTACTAGCAAAAAAACACTAAAAATCCACGCTTTCGCTGACATCATTTGAACAACCGATATTTTTCGGGTTTGTAGACGATCGACGCATTGGAAAACCACCAATTATTCAAATTAACCCACTATTCTACACATCAAAAAACTAATACATTGCATAATGTTAAAACTCACTTCCTTCAATAAATCATCAAAGTCCTCCCTAGTCTTTAGCAGCTTCTCCGAGCTAAAGCCTCATAACTGTGAATTGGGGGGCCAATCTTCTTTAAACCTGTAACTAAACAGAAATTGCTTTGTAGACAAAAAAACTGTGGCTTTCCATCAAGTAAAACCAGTTTGTTTTAAACTAGACCTCACTGAAGTTTAGCAATTGAAAATGTGGCATGATACTTTGAAGAGAAATTGTATGTCTCGGTTTAAAAGCTTTACATTTTAAACAGTGGAAAAGTTTCTTGCCAGCTCGTTCGCGCTTTAAAAGTCGCTTTTTTCTTCGTTTATGTGCACCTCAGTTCCTAACTGTTTAAGTTCAACAGTTTTACGATCCCGGCTCGTTAAAAAGTTAATTGAGTACTTTCTCATCTGGAAAGTTTCGATGTACTTGAGAAAAAATAGCGATAAAGCGATTATTGAATAACAACAATTTCCCACATTTACCGACGTGATTCCTGAGTGGAAATGTTCAGTCATTATTTTCGCTTTTAGCTGGGCGTTTGTCGGCGAGTTTTAGAGTGAAACTTTGAGAAACAAGGCCACAACAAAGTGGAGAAATCGGAATTTCAATCCCACTGGCTGCCTATCTGGAAATTGCCTCTTAAGACTAGTTATTTATATAAGAAAACTGCAGTTTGCAACTGTAAATAGCAGGCAGTAACGAGGTCTTCACTTATTCCCCTTCAGATGGCTTTATATTTCTGCAACAATTGCAGCCTTGGAATGTGATTTATGCAGCTCTTTCAGATACATCAATCAAGATAAGTTTGCTGTTGTTTCCTTATCGTTTGGTTTTATTCTAGGAAAAATCAATAATCAACGCGATTTGTATGCAAATTCTCTGGGCTGGAAAGTTCAGAGCGCTTTAAATCGTGAATATTTCAGAAGAAACAACATTTTTTGGGGGTAAACCTAATGAATCACCAAAACCATCCTAATCTCACCTACATTTCCTTTAAATTGCATTATCCATCGCCCAGATAGAATAAGAACAAGTCGAGCTTCCTCAGTATGCCAAACCAACCCCGGGCGGCTTAAAATCTCGGCAGTGTTTTGGGGTGGTTTTTGGGGAGAAACTCGATCTGACAAGAGCGTGAGGAGGGGGTGCAAAATCGATTTTCCCACCGAATACAGGTTTAATGGACTTTTGCTAAACTTATGGATAAATGAATGGGATGGGATGACTGGCAATGTTCTTCTATTTAGAAGCGCGTAACCATAATAAACGAGGTAATTTATTATCATCACCTATAGTGTCTAAATAAATATGATTTCGATAGGGAGATGTTCAAATACTATGCGAAGGTACACGTTCGCTTTAATTGATACTAATTTCATTAAATATTAGGAGTTTTATGATGCCAAACGTCCAAAAGTGGCAACATCGTGTGGGAAGTAAACGATTAGAAATTGTGCTCATTCACGCTAGCAGACTTTGGTTGTTCTTGAACAAAAATCGCTTACACCATTGCTTCCAGGTTGCAAAATTGCACAAGTTTATTATTTGTGCAAACAATTAAAATTCATTAAACATTTAGCGGATTGTTTTTCGGAAAAAAGCAACTCGGCAATTTTTTTGTTTGCAATTGCCATTTTTGTACCAAATTTATTAATGCAATGCGGTAAAAAATCTTGCAGTTTTGCCGAAGAAATGCGCGTGCAAAAAGCAAAAGTTCAACTTAAAATAGGTCTAGTAGAGCAAATCGAATTTGGCAGAATCAAAGAGTTTCGCACAATCGAACATCGTCTAAAACGGGCAGGCGATTTGAGAATAAATGCAAAACTCCAGTCGCTTCTCGAGAAATAATTAACGGGGCAGAACCTAATTTTCCATGATTCCTTTTTCAAATAAAACAGCAGCATTTGAACGGCGTTGAATCGAGGATTCCTACTTAGAGTTGAGTGCGCTCTTAAAAAAATTAGTGTTCGCGGAAGGTGTTTTCCAAAAAATCTGCTCAAAGTGGCAATTCTAGCCGGCGTCTCATAGTTTTAGGCATTTTAAGCAAATTCACTCTGATTTCAAAGGCTTCCACTTTAATGTTGCAACTGAAATGAATGGAAAAATTCCCGTTAAATCATGTTATCGAGCGAAATTTCCTAACAGACAACCTAGAAGATCTTCTCAAAAAGCCTCAATCCAATGTTTACTTAACTTCCGACAATGAACAGTCTAGCAGACGTTTTTTGACAATAATTACGCTCGTTTATACAGAATTAATGAAAAATTGGCATCTTGATAGGCCATTAACACAAGAAATTTACGACTAACTTAATTTATATGATAACACCTCTATCTGACATAAATTAACCGCCCGTTGTTTATGGCTGGAATTTTGAATTTCATTAAGCCCGGATATTATGCAAATCGACGGTTATATGAGAAATAGTTAAGCAATCGAAATACTTTTTCGCGTGTTTGATGGAAATGGAGGCAGATATACTGAAGGTGATAAAGATGGCAAGGAAATTGGAAAACACTATGGCTAGACTGGGAACATTCCAGTTGCGTGCCAGTTTCTTTTTTTAAATAAATCCGCTCCTAATTGGTTCATTTAGTGAATGAAGCGCTCAATGGGTTCTGATTTATGGATGTAAAACTATATCCGAAGGAGGAAAGCGACGGATTTCAATTCGTCGAAAACTCAACACTTAAGTGGAAACCAAACTCGTGGCCGGCAATAAAACTGTTTATTTGTATTTTTTCGCCCAAGTGAGATGCGCTTTGACGACTCCCCAGGAAATCGATTTGTCCCCATTTGCCGAGCACAATAAACGCATTAGAGCGGAAAGATAATTTATATTTTTCATTGATCAACWTMGAGAAAAATCGGTAATAATTAAAAMTGTTTTCGAAGAGCGTTCAGAAGACTTTAACACTTTTCACGTTCTTTCGCCCATGTATTTGGTGTGTGTTCCCATCGGGCTGGTGAACTCTAATAGGCACGAAACCTGTTCCGGGGGTGCCTCAGGTTACCACCTACTTTGACTATTCTGAAAGTATCCAACTATTAAATAGACAAATCCAGCCAAAGTTCGTGGCGGATTAATTGGAAAATCCAGTTAAAATTTCCCACTAGAGCCTCGCACCCGCTTTGGAAACAATCATTTCCAGTCGATTCTGATTCTCGATAAATCACCATCATTATATTGTACATCTCCAAAACACTTGCCAACTTTACCACCGAGGGTGGCGTTCTGTTGAAGTGGTTCCGCGTGCTGGATTGCTAATTATTTAAACTTCCATTTTAACTGGGAGTATAAATCAAATTAAACAGCACACAAAAGCGTTCCGGTTTCGTTCGGACGCAGCTTTCGGTCTGAAGTCAATCGATCCAGAATGAAAGTGAACCGTTTGTCTATTGAGTGGTTG